GTGGCCTACCAGAATAACTATGATTACATGTTTTTTGTATACATTTACCTATCCTGCTAACTAGAGCTAGTCGAAAATATTAAAGAAATTTTGGTTGTTTTTTGGTAAAATTTTCATCCCTTTTTTTTGGTACAAGATCTAATACAAGTCTCAAACTTTGTCAGAGTATCGTTTCCCTATTATCTCTGCCTATTGTACCTTAAGTTAGTGTGAAATTGCCTTCTCTCATCTAAATTGGTACTGTGCTTATGCCACAGAACACAAAACAAATGATATTGTTTGATCTGGGTTAGGGGAGCTATCATTAAGTAATAACAGGGAATGAACGTACAGTACTCAAGAACCAATCAATAATTGATCAAAAAAGCTTTTAAAACTTCTTAAAAGGAGCTTCTAATTTTAAAAAATGCTTTTAGGGAAAAGATGTCTGGTTTTTTTTAACACAATGAGGAGTTCTGATGTTGCTATTTACAGCAAACTATTATAGCCTTATTGACATTATCCCACTGTTTTGCATTTCTTTGATCTCAATCTCGGCACAGTAACTGAGCAAGCAAGGGAACATGAGTTTTGCAGGAAGTGAGATGCTCTATTAAACTGGTACATTGAAAACCTTAAATGATACAAAACTTGCAATCCTTTTTGATCATTATAAATTTTTGGAGCGGATCAGTAGGTGGGAAGAGTTACTACCTAGTTGTTGGGCAGACCAGAAGTTAGACGCTTAGTTTTATGGCCTGTGTTATTCAGAAGGTCAGGCTAGATCACAAAGTCCCTTCTGCCTTGGAATCTATGAAACCCCTGGTGCCATTGTACTCCACCAGAGTTTTGCCATTGACTTCAGTGGGACCAGCTATTTCACCCCTGGATTCTGTTTCTGCTTATGCAAATTATGTACTGTTTGACCTTGGTCAAATGCCTCTGTCTGCCCGTGTAAACCTTGTTTCAGAGCATAAAACAACCTACAGCTGAGGGTTCAGTAAGAACGGTCTCTAAGGGCAAGTTATTCCATAACTATCCACTACAGTATTCTTTGCTTCTTTCTGTGAAGCATGTAGTACTGGACATAATCAGAGATTGGATAGTGGACTTGATGGGTCACTTGATCTGCAAATTCTTGTGTTCCTAGATGGGTATATTGACTGTACCTTTCTTGTAAGGGTGTTGAATTAATTGTTTGCAAATTTCATCGACGTCCTTGAATGAAAAGCATTATATACATGCAAATAATTATTGACTTTACAGTTTTAATTTGTTAATTTAGTTTTTTTCAAGATGCTGTACTCAGAATCTCAGATTTATGGGAGAGTTTATTCCTTTGGTGTTATTCCTTCTATTAATGTATACATACATCTATATATATAGCTTTTAGAAGTCGCTGTTACAGTGATAGGTCATCCAAATCAGTACAGTAATAATTAGTACAAAGTCCATTGGACAAGAGTAATGATGCCCATTAGTTTTAGAATTTGTTTTTAAATTCAAAGAGGGAAATCTAGCTTCATTCTACAAAGTGAGCGATTATTACATGAAAAATCCTTTTAAAAACATTCTCTGAATAAATATTAGATGCTCAAAGCACTTCCCATTGATTTTCACCATCAGTGAGAAGATATAATTAATGATTTCAACAGTTTGAGATAGATGGTGATGTAAGAATATTATTATTTTTTCCACACTCTCAATTATCTCTTTCTCTCTCTCTCTCTTATTATAGTATAATATAGTGTGTATGTGTGTGTGTGTGTGTGTGTATATATATATATATATATATATATATATATATATATACTGTACTATACTATACTATATTGGCCACTCAGTAAAGGAAAGTTCAAAGAAAGGTCCAGAGCCTTACTTGTAAAAATCATATCATATACACTTCTACCCCGATATAACGCTGTCCTCGGGAGCCAAAAAATCTTACCGCGTTATAGGTGAAACCGCATTATATCGAACTTGCTTTGATCCACCGGAGTGCGCAGCCCCGCCCCCCCGGAGCGCTGCTTTACGGCGTTATATCCGAATTGGTGTTATATCAGGTCGCGTTATATCGGGGTAGAGGTGTATATGCATTAGTATTGCAAAGTGACACATTTTGGAGGGTTATCGTAAAGATTATCCAGTACTCAGTCATGCAACAGATTATTTTAGCCAAAAAATATCAACAAATGAAATGCCAAAAGAAGCCAACTATAATACACCTCTACCCCGATATAACATGATCCGATATAACACAAATTCGGATATAACGCGGTAAAGCAGCTCTCCGGGGGGGGAGCGGGGCTGCGCACTCCGGCGGATCAAAGCAAGTTCAATATAACACGGTTTCACCTATAACGCGGTAAGATTTTTTGGCTCCCGAGGACAGCATTATATCGGGGTAGAGGTGTATAATGTAATTCCAGTGATACGAACCATTAATGAAAAGAAAATAAATATGCCAGGCAGAAATTCTACCAGTTCTACCATATTTATGGTTTATCAAAGCTAGGCCAGCAAAGTCCAATGAAGATAGAGAGGGAGTCATTACACAGCTGAGCAGCCTGAATCCTGTAATGAGGTCTGTTGAATTGCATCTGCCAGGATTCTCTCCAATAGTTTATTGGCAGGCTTCTCTTCCCAAAATAAATACTCCTTCCTGGCTTGTCTAATGCATAGTTTTGCCAGGAAGAGGATTGCCACATCAGTGCTCTGTCATCAGAAGCGTTCTTTACTGGGACTAATGTGCAGCATTCTGTCTGTGTATCTCGACTTAGACCAGGAAATTATTTCTATAGTTATTTAAATGAACATATTCTTTTAATTTCTGGCTATATCCATTGCCCATTCCTAATTCTAAATTCCCTTATGTACAAAGTACTGTGGTCCTGATGGTACTGGAACCCTTGTTCCTTGGCATCTCCTTATAATGCCATATGATTGTATATAAACTAGCTCTTTCACGATGTCTAGAGTAGGGACCATTTTGTATTCTGAGATTTCACAGCAACGGAATTTGCAGCAGATGATTTGTGCTTCATAAGTTAAACTGTCAGTTAACAGTAAAAAGTAAGTGTCTCTCATTTGAAGGTTGTGAAGAAAGCCGTTAAAATATGAACTGCTTCGAGTGGTCTCCAGAGTTTGCATGCAAGGCACATGAAAGTGACAACTCTGAGTGTTGTGAACAGCCTCATTCAGCTCAGTGTGGTGGTAACGCTGAAGACAAATAGTGATTATTTATATCAATATTAACTTTTTTACTGATGGTTATAAAGAGAAGCATTCATCTTATATGGGTATAGTTGTTGGATGCCGCAACGGATATTGATACACTGGGAAATGTGGCAAGTGGTTGTAAGACAGTAGGAATTCAAGTCTCCACCAAAAATCTCAATTTCTTTCCTCGTGGGAGATGGGGAAAAAGAGAGACATCCATTCTGTAGTGCCCAAGATCTCAAGAGCCCCTCTTGTGCCAAACATTAAAACAATCTCCCTTGCTTTTATAGATGCTAAATGCTTCGGCCATGTCCAACCAGCTGTCAAGACATCTAGCTTCCTCCTCACAAACTTATTCAATGCAGGTGTGTCTTTGAACTGGGCTTTATGAGGCCTCGGTTCTATTCCTGGCTGTGCCAGAGACCTGCCATGTGACCTTGGGCAAGTCACTTCAGCTCTGTTTGCCTCTTTGCCCTTGCCTGTCCTATTTAGAATGCAGCTCTTTGGGACTTGGTCTCTCTGACTATGTGTTTGCATAGTGGCTAGCACATAAGGGCCCCAATCTCAGTTCAGGTCTCTAGTTGCTACCTTAAATACAAATAATAAATCAGAATGTCAATGAACAATGACAGTTTAGGGAACAGCATAACATTTAATTCAATATCAAAATTAATAAGACAAGAAATACTTTATAGTACTGACTGTCATATTTAATTCAATAAAAGCTCAGTGGAGTCACACTGGCATAGAGGTACAAGGCCAAGTGTATTCAGGTGAGGTCTGGTTCTCAAGACTTCTAGTTTTGTTGGCCATACTTCTATTATTTTTTGTCATGTCTGCAGGACATTCTACCACATGCTAGATTTTACTATTTAGTCTTTGTCATGAACACTTGTCAGCGGTGGTGTCAGTTGTTATGTTTTTCAACAGCCACCGCTTCTCGCAGCTCCCATTGGCCAGGAACGGCGAACCGCGGCCACTGGGAGCTGTGCACAGCCATACCTGTGGACGCTCAAGTAAACAAAGCGTCTCGCGGCCCGCCAGGGGCTTACCCTGAACAAGCCGTGAACCAAGTTTGGGAACCCCTGTTCTAAGTGAACAAACAAACAATGGAAAAAATGAAAGCTATCACATAATTAGGGCTTCCAGGTTAAGTGTAAGAGGATAAAATTACCCCATAGCTATTTTTCAGTTTATTAATAAAAAATAAACATGATAGTTGCCAATTTTATATATTTTGTAACTTTTTTCAGATTTTCTTTTGGATTATTCCCTTAACTGGCGTGGCTAGATGATCAGAGGGGATTGCTGAAATGACTAAGTTATCCATTTGTGCACATAACTAGTCTGTGTAATTATGTTCCTAACACTGTTACCTTTGTCTTCTCCCCAATTCTGCCAGATTGTTTTACTTCCCGTTGTTGCATCTTGTCTGAAATTAGATTGTAAACTCTAAATTTCAGGGAAAACAAATACCAGGATTCCTATGTATGCAGCATGAGTACTTTTTATTTATTTTATATTGATAAATATAATTAAGTTTTAATTATTTATGATGATGCTCATAATACATTGGGAAATGTTTTGTAGTATACTTTATAAAAGCAAAGAAGCATTTGTAACTGGAGCCTTATCTGCACTCTGTTAAACCTTCATTGACAACTGTGATGAAACCTGGGTTTTTATCAGGTTTGTAGATTAGCAAAGTGAGATTTACTGAAGTTGTACTGTCGTTCCCAACTTTCTTTAAATACTATATATGAAAAAGAGACATATTTGAATATTTATGTTTGACATTTCAGATCCAGAATGCCAATGATGTGTTAATAGCACCACTGGAAAAGTTTCGTAAGGAACAAATAGGTGCAGCAAAAGTAAGGAACCAATTCTTATTTATTTTATATTTGCTTGAAGTTCACGCTATGTTGATTGTTAGATTACAAACATTTTAAAGTAATGATACCATTGTTCTCAGTGTATTTGTGTATTGATAAATTGGACTTAGTTCTTTGCTTCAGAGGAATGGAACATTTTAGAAGGGACCTTTTAAGGTTCTGGATATATTGCATACCTCAGGCACTAACGGAACCTTTAGTTTTGCAGCAAATCTGCCATATCCTTTAGTTGCCTTTATTTTCTATATTTAGGTTTAATTCAATCCCATATGGAAAACCAAAAAGTAACTGAGAAATAATTGCACACACTCTTTTTTTTACTAGCCCAGAGTCATTCTAACATGCATTGTGAACATCTCCAATGTTCCTATCCTAGCAGCTGAAGAAGCAGTGAAAGCAGGAACCACGAGAGAACTTTTTACAGTTTTTTCTGTCCTATACTCACTGGCTGTTTGCTTCAGTCCTCTCCCTCCCCCTCCATCACAGTCTCTTCACCTCAGCTTCACTCCCCACCTGCCACTTTTACCCTCTTCTCCCCTGTCCTGTCCCCTCACCCTACTTCCCTTCCCTTTTCTTTCCATTTTATTTAATCCCTCCTAAGTAAATCCAATATCACCCCCCCCCCTACAAGTATGGAAATAATGTGATGTTTTCTGCTTGTGTGTTACATCCCTCCCCCACCTTGTGTCTATAATGTCTAGTTAGATAGCAAGCTCTTTGTGGGTAGGGACTGTTTACTACGGTGTTTTTACAAGGCCCAGCACAATGGGGCCCCGTTCTTGGTTGTCCCTTAAGCACTGCCATAGTAAACATCAGTAATAATAATGTTGTGCATCTGGAACACTGTAAAAACTTAAATATTAGATAAACAAAACTGATGAAAGAAAGGAGAAACCAAAAAAGAGTGGTTTTAAAATGGGAGGAGAAACAGTCAGATGAACTGACTCACCTCCAACTCCTTGCAAAGAGGTTTGTGTCTCCTCTGGGCGCAGCAGAGGTGGAGAATGGCAAAGCAGCTGGTTGTGGCTCCCCTCATTCTAAGAGCAGCCAAGGTCTTGTTCAATCCTTGGTATAGTTTAGAACCACCTTGGGGCTATTCTATACTGTGCTCTGGATGTAGTGGTCACAAAGGGGCACTGAGGATTCTCAGAGCTCAGTGTGCTTTGGCCATGTCTCCTTCGGCCTCTGCCTCCCTCTGGGTTAGGGTGTCCAGATATTTCTTCTATATGGAGAATCTCTAGTCAGTGGTTTAAGACAGCTATAAAGTTGGCAGAGCAGCATAAAGAGCTGTAGCAAGGCTCAGTATTGAGCCCAGGGAACCTGGGGGTACATTCAGAAAAGGAGTTTCCTAGGTGTAGGCTCTCAACCTAGAAAGCCCTATTTCCAGCTCAATGCACAGAACTCTGCTGATTAGTTGCCTTGGAGAGTCTTAAAGGGTACAATAGTTAATAAGGTGCATGATTCTGGTACCAGACAGTGCTCCCTGAGTACATGTACTGCTTCTGAAATATTGTACCCTTGATTTAAAACTTCGCTGACAGATTATCTGGGAAATCTTTCAATTTTTAATATTGTTTTGGTTTGAAGAAACCATTCTAGTTTTGTTTAGTTCTTGTATAAAGAGCATAACGTGGTGGGCCTATAAAATAGGTAATAGGGATTGCAGTCTTTCCGCATCAGAGCAGAGTCACAGGAGGAGAAAATATATATGGTAAGAGGAGAAATGGAGAATGTAAGTGATAATATTTTAAAGTTTTCTGTACTACTCCTGTGAGTGTGTAGCAGAGAGATGGAGAACCCTCTGTACAGGAACTAAGCACATGTTTAGGGCAAATTCCTTCTGTGGACTTGTGGTCAGACTTCTGTGGACAAAGATGATGTTTTCTTCCCTCATGTTTGATATTTTTTTTGTGTACAGCTGCATGCTTTCCTCACCACACCTATGTCCTGCTATGTAGATGAGGAACATGGGAATTTGTTTTTAACTATGGTGCAGATAATAGAGTGTAATGCCATCTGAAAATGCTTTCTATTTTTTTTTAGCAGTTTTCATTCCTACATGCATTGACAGTTGTTTGATTCTTTGTGTTGCTATTTAATTTTGTAATAACGTAGCTTCAGGGACATAATTGCCTGTTCTATAGAGACTCACTGTGTTGTTGACAGGCGTTCTGTCTGGAGAAGCTAAACAAGACTCTATCCAGAGGTCATTAACATGGCTTCTTAGTCAGGGTGCGGAGGTCATTGTAGAGCAATGTGCAGCACTCACTGTCCCCTTTAGATATATTCAATCAGTGACTCTGTAGACAATTAATACTTCTGTGTTCGGGGATTGCTCACTCCAGTTTGCTGTTGCCATTAACAATAACACCAGACACTTTGTATAGGGCTCTACCTGGGCAGAGCACTTTACAAACATTAATTAGTTCTTACAGCATTCCTGCTGGATAGGCATTTGTCCCCATTTCATAACTGGGGGGAAAGGGACATGTAGAGGTCAAGAGACTTGCCCAAGCCACACAACAACTTAGTGGCTGAGTTAAGACTGGAACCCAGATCTTCCAACTCAGTCTTGTGCCTAATCTATTAGACCTTGTTACCTTTCTTTTGGACCATTAGATTCCTGGGTTGACACCTCTTAGGCTCAGCCACCAGACAGGAGCTCTACTAGTTGGTTGTTTTAGAAAAATGCAAAATAAATATATTTGTCTTTTCTTCTTCTGCTTTGCCTGAGTTCAACTGTCAGCTTCAGCGCTGGGTGGTTCAGACCACCCACGTACTCTAGGGTATGATTGGGTCTGATATGAGGTGGATCTGTCAAATGAAATACACCTCTGCCCCGATATAACGTGACCCGATATAACATGAATTCGGATATAACGCGGTAAAGCAGTGCTCCGGGGGGGCGGGGCTGCGCACTCCGGTGGATCAAAGCAAGTTCGATATAACGCGGTTTCACCTATAACGCGGTAAGATTTTTTGGCTCCCGAGCACAGCGTTATATTGAGGTAGAGGTGTAGTTGCAAAGGGCATTGAGATGAATGAGAGCAGCACAAAGAGGTGATAATTAATTACACTTAACGTTCTTCTAAAAAAAAAAAAAAAAAAGCCTGAGAACCTCTAACAAAAATGGTAAATCTATAAAGTACAATAGGAATGGGGTAGTAATAAAGGTATGCAAAACTGAGGCTATGTTGCCACTACAAATTACTTCGGTATAATTTACATCGCTCAAGGGTGTGAATAATCCCCACCCCTGAGCAACGTAAATTATACCAACCTAAGCGCTGCTGCGGACAGTGCTGTGTCGATGGGAGAGCTGCTTCTGCCAACGTAGCTACCGCCTTCTCCCCCATCAGTTTAGCGCATCTTCACGAGAAGCTGTAGTGTAGACATAGCCTGAGTGGTATTACAGTGCCAGAGATGGTATGAACATTTACCTCACTCTCTGTTCACCTAAGTTCAACCACTGAGTTTTTGTTTTTGACCAAAGCCAAATGCTTAATAATTGGTTGAAACTGCAAGTTTCTTACAAAACTCTTTAGTTAATATAGGTTTGCACGGAAGATTTGCAAACCTTTAGTGAACCTTTGGCTGAATGTGGAGTGATCTCTACATATGTAACAAACTGGAAACCCAGTTTGGACTTTTGTAACGGAAGTTTCGCAGCACTCTAAGGATGTCTGTACACAGGGATTTCATTTATACTTGACATCTTCACTGGGCCCTCAAACTCTCTGGATAGTGGTAAAGGTGCCAAAGACGCAAACCTCACCACCTTGTGCTCCAACAGGAAAGGTGCACTTCTTTGAACTTGCTTTTTTCTAACATAAACTCACAGCAGCATGTACATTTAAAAAAAAAAAAAAATCCAAACCCTAACAAAATAAGAGAAGAGAAGATGGGAGAGAAAACAAATCACAAATGACAGATGTTAGTCGCATTGCTAATGCACTCCTGCAAGTTGCTCAGATACTACGGTGATGTGTGTATAAGAACCTATATAGAATTGAACAGAAAAAAGCAATATATTTAGAGGTGATTTTTGTCTGATTTTTTATTGTTGTTGAGAAATTAGGCATGCAAAGGTAGGTTAAATTGTGCTCCTAGTTTTCATGCACAATTCCCACAACTGCAAGCGCAATTCAAGTAGCTGGGTGTGAAAATGGTTAATCAGTCTTTGTGACCACAGTCACCTGGTTTGTGCTCCTATATTCTTTTAAAAACATGTTCTAAATATTGTATCATTTTCTTTCTTTATCAGACCTTTTTAATTTGAATTGTTTTACTCCTGTTAAGTTTAAAATATGAACCTTGTTGAAGTAGCACCTTGCTCAAATGTGAGCATTATTAGCATCTATATAATGGGTGGTATTAATACATATCATTATGAGCGATCAGCTTTTGTCAGAATTCAGTGGGGAAGGAAAGGATGTGAGGAAGGGTTTTGAGTATTTAGGGTTTCTTCTTTTTCTTTCTTTTTAATTACTTCAGTGGGAGATGGAAGTATACCTTAAAGCAGATATAGGCCCACAAAGTTAAAAATAAGGGTTAGGAAGAGGATTTCTGACAGAATTGTGGTAATGCAATTGCACAAATAAGAAAGATTATTGAGGATAAACTATACCCAATATACAGTATAAAACTGTACATCTGTATTTTATATTCAGTGTCACCATAAACCCAGTGAGTAAAGTTCAAGTGGTTTTTTTTATATCACAAGAATCTCCAATAATAAAGAATAATCCTTTGTAAGTGCTTAAAAATATGCAGGTACCCAATCAAAAACAAAAACAGTCCCCACAGATCTTGGAAATAAAATATTAGTGTTTGTAACCAAACCAACAGTACACAATCTGTGCCCCTTACTGCCCTTCTTGATTATTTATATTACTTGCTCTTCTGTTTTTATTGCACATATTTCAGTTCTTCCTTTTCTGTGCACACTCAGTTTAAATAAAACGGAGAACTCTCCAGAG